TCCAAAACCAAATGCGACAACGACAACACCGGATCACCTTGCGACACATGCATCAAGGCAGGACATAATTGCGATTTTCCTGATCCAAAGCCTCTTCCGGCGAAACGATCAAAGCCGCCGACTGTGCCGAGGCAGGTAGTGGAAGTCGGGCATGTCCGGAAGCGAGTGAAGAAGCTCGAAGATGCAACGTCCTCTGATGGGAGTACTGCTGCGGCACTTGCTCAGGAAGTCCTTTCGGCGCCCTATCTTACCGTCGACTTGTGGCATCAACTCTTCGACATATACAAGCTGCACTTCGCTACCGAACTCCCGTTTTTGCACCTCCCAACTCTCAAAGTCATCGTTCACGATAAAGAGAACGAGAGGGCGTCAACCGAATCGAATCTGGTTCTATTGGGCATTCTGGCTCTCACTGCAAGATTTCATCCCGACTTGGTCAAAAATGTGGCACACCTCACACACGAAAAGATCGCGCACCCCAAGTCTCGCGGTATACTAACCAGTTCGGCGCCGTCAATAGCCTCAGAGTACTTCGCAAACGCTCTGACAAAGGCACTGGGGCCACTCGAATCAGCCTTGACATCAGCGACTGTCGTCCGTGTCCAAGCTTTTCTCATGCTGGGCTTGTACAAATGGAGTCAGCCGAATGGCGGCTTGGCTGCATGGATGTATGTTGGCGTTGCCATACAGATGGCTCAAGGCTTAAAATTGGGGTTTAGAGACAAGCCTTTAGGCGGCAAGAGAACTCTGCCCTTGTCTCCTCGGTCAAGTAAATCTGCCCAACCACCCTCCGACCTTTGGAAAGATCAGGAGGTGAGGCGTCGTACCATGTTCAGTTGCTTGATACTGGATCGTCTCCTATCCTGCGGATCAGATCGGGTTTCTATGGTTCGGTCCGACGATCTTCAAATCCAGCTGCCATGCACTGAACACGCCTCCGACCTTGGCCGTGTCGTCTACACCGGATTCTTGCGGCAGATGGGACATGGCATGGAGCCACCAATAGATGACAGCGTGTTGAGTCGATTCGTGCAACTAGCAGATTTCTGGGGCGATATTACCAAGTACAGTTTCGCGGGCGGCCGCCATACGGAATCCCTTCCGCCGTGGGACCAAGAGTCGACTTTCTATCAACTGAATAAAAAGGTAGACGGCTTTTACGCACACCTTCCGGAAGAGTTCACCTGGTCCAACTCGAACTTTTGGAAACACGACAGTAGCATGTATACATCGCTTCACATGCTGGGTGCCCTATGCAAAATCATGCTGCATCGCGAATACATCCCGTTCATCGCCATCAAATGTTCTGAGCCGGTCGGCCCTCTGGATGAGCCTGTATTCAACCGCGAAACTGTTCCCGACCACTTTTGGGAACGAAGCGCAGAGCAGGTTTTCAAAGCTGGAAGGGATATCATCGACCTCATCTCGACATGCAGAGACA